TATGTTATCTGATATGAGAATGTCTACATCAGCTTTCTTTTAATTTCTGTTTGCATGAAATATTGTTTTCCACCTTTCACCTCAAATCTAAATTAGTCATTGTGGGTTAAATGTATTTCCTAGAGACAGAAGACAATTGGCTTGTATTTTTGTATCCATTCAATCAGCCTATGTCTCTTCATTGGGGAGTTCAAGCCATTCAAATTTATTGTAAGTATTGATACAGGTGGTGGATTTATGGTCATCTTGTTGGGTAGACCCTTACTACTTTGTTTTACCTCTTAAGCCATTGTGGTGTCTGGGTTCTGAACTTTAGTTTTTGAAAGATTTTGCATTGGGGGGTATCTGTTGTGCTAATGCCTATCTGAGTACTTATTTCAGGGCAGGTCTGGTCTTCACAAATTCCCTGACCAATTGCTTGTCAGAGAAATTCTTTATTTCTCCTTCAGAAAAGAAACTTTGTTTTGCAGGCTAGAAAATTCTAGGCTAGCCATTATCCTGCCTTAAAAGGCTGAGGACAGTTCTCCATCTTCTCTGGCTTGTAAGGTTTCAGTTGAGAAGTTTGCAGTTAGTCTGATTGGTTTTTCTTTGTTATTTAGCTCTGTTTTCACCTGACTGCCCATAGTAGTAAACTTTTTTTTTTTGGAGACAGAGTCTCAATAAGTCGCCCTTGGTAGAGAGCTGTGATGTCACAGCTCACAGCAACCTCAAACTCTTGGACTTAAGTGATTCTCTTGCCTCAGCCTCCCAAGTAGCTGAGACTACAGGTGCCCACCACAATGCCTGGCTATTTTGTTATTGTTGTTGTTGCAGTTATCATTGTTGTTTGGCAGGCCCAGGCCAGGTTCGAACCTGCCAGCCCTGGTACATGTGGCTGGCATCCTAGCCACTGAACTACAGGCACTGATCCAGGAGTAAACTTTTTCATGTTTACTTTGGCCCACCTGGTGATTGTGTGGCCAGGTGACTGCCTCTTTAGGATGAATCTCCCATGAGTCCTGTGTGCTTCCTTTACCAGCATATCTAGATTTCCAGCAAGGCCAGGGAAATTTTCCTCAATAATTCCCTCAAATAAATTATCCAGCTCTTGAGTATTTTCTTCCTTACCCTCACAGATGCCTGTGCTTCTTACGTTTTTCTCTTTCTATTTTTTTCTTTTCTTTTTCTTTCTTTCTTTCTTTTTTTTTTTTTTTGTTTGCAGTTTTTGGCGGGGGCCAGGCTTGAACCCGCCACCCCCAGTATATGGGACCTGAGCCCTACTCCTTGAGCCACAGGCACTGCCCACGTTTGGTCTCTTTCTATAGTCCCACGTTTCTTATAAGCTTTGTTGTTTCCTCTTATTTCTCAGTTCTTTTTCTCTTGACTTATTTGTTTAACAAAAAGCTATTAACTTCAAGTTCTAATATTCTTTCTTCCACCTGATCAAGCCTAAGTCTTTCTACTGTGCTTTGTAATTCCTTGAATGAATTTTTCACTTCCAAAAGTTCTGTTTGGTTTTTCTTTAATACTTTGATTTCTTTAGAGAAATTTTCACTAATTTCCTGCATTGTCTTATGGCTTCTTTGTGTTGGATTTTTTTTTCCTCTTGTATTTCCATGAGCTTCCTTACAACCTGTGTTCAAAATTCTTCATCTGCCATTTTAATCTTTTTGTTTAAGTTGGTATCCATTGGGAAGCAGTTATTGTTTTCTTTAGGGCAACACCTTTCACTTTGAGTTTTCGTATTTCTGGAGTTTTGCTTTACTGGTTCCTTCTCCTCTGGTCTCTCATTTGTGAACCAAGTGTGTTAAGGCTAGCTATGGGCTTGTCTGCAAGACCCTGAAAATCAGTTCCTGACTGTCAGGGAGAAAAATCCTGGTCCTGACTTGCCTTTTGGTTATTCTAACAGGTTTGATGAACTGCTCTGGTTACCTCTGATCTGCTGTCTTCACCTCTTTCAGATGATGTGGGTGGTATTTGTTTATGTAAATCCACCACACCCTGTTCACTTGAGTTGGATGATGCTTTGATGGGCTACATTAGCTATATCAGTGTTCTCCCTGATGTTTGTGTCAAGGACTGAACTGCTGAAGTGATTTTTTTTTTTAGAGTCAGAGTCCCACTTTGTCACCTTCAGTAGAGTGCTGTGGCATCACAGCTCAGAGCAGCCTCCAGCTCCTGGGCTTAGGTTATTCTCTTGACTCAGCCTCCCAGGTAGCTGGGACCACAGATGCCCAGCACAAAGCCCGGTTATTTTTTGTTGCAGTTTGGCTGGGGCCGGGTTTGAACCCACCACCCTCGGTATATGGGGCTGGTGCCCTACTCACTGAGCCACAGGCACGGCCCTGAAATGATTTTTTTGTGTCTGTGGTAGACTCTGGTACCCCAGGTGGAGTAAGTTGAATGCCCTAAACTTTAGGAGGGACTCTTATAGCTCCCAGGAGTTTCTTGATCTCCACTACCACTGAGGTGGGAGGAGGAGCAGGGCAGTTTATACCTAGGTTTTGTTAGCCTGAAAGGTTTTGTGAAGCTTCAGTGGGGCTCAGAGGTTACTTCCAGCTAATGGGGGAGCTGCTAGCAGGAGGGTCAGGACCAGCTCTGCCAACCCCAGAGCTGTTCACAGGGAAGGAGCTGAATGTTTGTATGCTAAGGCACTGGGTTTGGTTCTTTCTGGCCCTATCCAGTGACACAGATTTTCTATAGGGAGAGGTATGTACTCCTCCAAACGGCCACTCCTTGGACACCCCCCCCACCCCACACACAAAGATTGAATCAGCAAATGGTGTAAAGGGCATGCAAACTCACCTCCCAGTGCAGTTTTTGCATCCTGGACTGGCTCCCATCCCTCAGGGGAAGAACTGACTGTTCTTCACTCAGTATGTGCCCAGGTGGTGGATGGGGCCCTGGGGCTTCCAGGTGAGTCCTTAATCTCTGTGGCAGCAGAGGCAGGTGGTCTCAGGCTCCACAGAAACTTTCCAGTTAGCTGTTTTGGCAGGGGTCAAGGTCTGCTCCCAGTTTCTGGATAGAGTCCCACCAGGGAGAGGCTGAAGTGACCTGATTCCACCAGAAAGTCTGTTGAGGAGGTAGGTCTGTCAAAGATTCATAGACTTCAGTGGGTCCCACTCTTCTCCCCAACCTCTGCTCCACAGTCTCAGCAGGCTGGACTCCAGACCAGCTGAGCTCCCCGTGACTGTTTTGTGGGCTGGGAGGTGCCTGCCCGGGATCCGGGCCTGAGCTGAGTGCAGCCCTCCCTGTGTGAAGGGGCTCCCTGCGAACATGTCACAGCCAAGGCTCACAGCACACTCTCCCCACCTATCTGCCCACGGGCTTTCTCACCTCTCTAGACCAAGAAGGTCAATCCCTGACCATGTCAGGGAGAAGTGTGCCCATCTCATGTCACCCACAGGTTGCCTGAGTAAGATCAGTGTTCCTCCAACTAGGGGCCTGCCCTGCTCTGATGGAGCTGCCAGACACACAGCACCGGGGTGGACCAGTGACCTGCAAGCTCACAGTCTGAGCACCCCGACTCTACTGCAGGACCCCAAGAGGAGAGGCCTGATTCCCACACTCTGTGGCAACCTCAGTGTAATGACTCAGTTGTGTCTCTTGGCAGCCACCAGTGGAGAAGAGGAAGGAACAGAAAAGAGCGTGTGGGGAGAGTGTTAGCACTCAGTTCACAAGGGCGTCTGGCCAGAGTGTTCAGGCGCTGAAGTCATTCAAATCACCTGGGACCTTCTGGGGCCCTGTGGGTCCCACAGTTTGGGTTGGAGCTGGAAAATTTCTTTGTGGAATCAGGCAGGACAAAACCCAAGGAGGTGAAGCCCTCTGGGGAGGACAAAGGTGCAAGGTGAGTGGAGAAGCAATATGGTGCCTGCTGTCCTGGCTTGCAGCTGTGGGAGCCAAAAGTGCCCCTTGGTGGCTAGGAACTTGGTGTTCTGTGCACAAGCAGTTCCCAACTCACTGGTGGCAGCAGCCTCTGGGCTCGTGTGGGAGTTTCTCTAGCCCAGAGCCTTCCCACTGTCAGAGATGTGAAGGAGGGAGAAGCAGACGACTCCACCTGCCCTTCTCCTGGACTCCTAGCCTCTCAGGAGTTGTCCTCTACCAATATCTTGCTCCTTGTTGTTCTGCTCTGCAACTTCTTCCTGTGGAATCTCTTGTAGGTTCTGACACTTTTACCTTGGAATTATCAGATCTATAATTTTTATGTTGCTTTTTCTTTTTCATTTATGAGTTTTTCTTTTTCTGAGATGATCTGGCAGCTTCTATCTCTGGCTAGGCACCTTGCCAGTCCCTCTATTTATCTATTTTCTTTGGAAAAATTCTATTCATGTCCTTTGCCTAACTTTTTATTGACTTTTTCTTTTCTTGCTCATTTTGTTTGAGTTCTTTGTAGATTCTGGAAGTTAGTCTTTCACTTGATACAGAGTTTGCCAAGATTTTCTTCTATTCTGTAGGTCTCCTGTTTATTCTGTTAATTATATTCTTTGCCGTGTAGAAGCTTTTACATTAAGTCCCATTTGTTTATTTTTGGGTTTTTTTGTAGTATTTGTTTTTGTGGGCTTACTTACAATTTCTTTACCTAGGCTGATGTCTGGAAGAGTTTTCCCCATATTTTCTTGTAGAATTTTTATGGCTGCATATCTGACTTTTAAGTCTTCAGTCCAACTTGAATAATTTGTATATGTTAGTGAGTACTATCTATTCTTTTCAATTTTTAGAGCACTTTTGAGCTCTTTTGTAGGGTAGATCTAATAATCACAAGTTTTCTTAGTATTTGCTTGTCTGGGAAAGACTTTATTTTTCCTTCATTTATAAAACTTAGTTTTGAAGGATACAAAATTCTTGCCTGACATTTATTCATTTTAAAAGACCAAAGATAGGATCCCAATCCCTTCTGGCTTGTTAGGTTTTTGTTAGGAAGACTTCTATTAGTCTGTGATGTTTTCCTTTGTAAGTTACTCGATGTTATTGCCTCACAGCTCAGGAATTCCTCAGTCACCTTGACTTTGGACAGTCTAATGAAAAATGTGGAAAGCTTCATGAATGTTCATGTCATTCTTACATAGGTGCCATGTTCATGTTCTTTTTATCATTCCAACTTTAGCATATTTGCTGCTGCCTTGAGCACTGGATATGTTTTCAATCCATTCAGCCATTCTATATATTTTAAGTGCAGTATTTTATCTGCTTATATTCAAGGGTATTATCGATATGTAAGGCTTTGTTCTTGATGTGCTGTTAATTATTTCTGTTTTATCTATTTTTCCTTCCTTTTTCCCCCCCTTATTGTTCATCATTGTAGTTTGGTGGATTTCTGTAGTGGTACCATTTGAGTCCTTTCTCTTCCTCCTTTATGCTGTTGCTTTACAATGAGTTAATCCTGTCTCTTTTTTTTGTTTCCATGTTTAGGAATCCCTTAAGCATTTCTTGTAGGATGTGTCTGCAAGACAATTTGTTAATGGTAGCAAATCTTCTTAGCATTTGCTTGCTTGGGAAAGACTTTTTTTCTCCTTCATTTATGAAGGATAATTTTGCTGGATACAGTATTCTTGAGTGATAGAGTTTTTTTTTTTTTTGTCTTTTGGCACTTTGAGTATATTGTCCTATTTCTTCTGGCCTATAAAGTTTCTGCTATGAATAACTGTTTATTTATGGGATTTATTTATAGGTGACTAGATGTTTCTTTGTTGGTATTTTTTAGGAATCACTATCTTTGACTCTAGATAGTCTATCTATCTATAATATACTGTGGAGAAGACATTTTTGCATTGTAAAGGGGGGAAACACTGAGCCTCCTACATTGGATGTCTAAATCTCTTGCTAGGCTTGGGAAAATTTCAACTATTATTTTATGAAGTAGGTTTTATAATCTTTTTATTCGCTCTTTGCACTCAGAGATATTTATAATTTGAACATTTGGTCGTTTTATGTTTTCCCAACTGTTTTTAGTAGATATATACATTTCTCTATGATGTTGTATGATATTTTATGATGTTTATTATTTTTTACTACATTTGTTTCACACTTGCATTCCAACATGGGTTTGACTTTAATGGGAGAATATAGAGAATACCTATTAGCTAAGTAACAAAGTCTGGGGCTTGGAAGAATTTCAGATAGTCGGTGGGAGAAGGCTTGTGAGGCAGAGGACCCATCTGGCATTCCCAAAATTCCAACAGTGAAGAAGCCAACTGGCCTACTTAGGAGAAGGGCTTCTCCAAAAGTCATGCAAAGTGACCAAGTCAGCCAGTTTGCAGCTGCATTTGTTACTTAGGTATCAATATGGTCTTAGTCTTAATATTGTTTATTGACTACTTATTTCTAATATTAAAAGTTTAGAGTAATTCATTGAACATTTTGAAATAGTTTGCAGTTTTTCTTTGTTTCTTCAAAAGAATTGCTTGCAAATGAATTCAAAAGAAAGGCAATTTTTTTTTGTTTCTAGTAAATTGCAACCTAGAATATTTTAACAGCTGTCTTTTAACTTTTATATTGTACACTAAAACTTTTATGTCTGAGTGAGAATTTGATAAAATCAGTTGAAAGGAAAGAAGGATAAGGTCAAAAATAAATTCAGTGATACAGTAAAACTTTATTTCTAAATTCCTATAAGGAGTATCCAGCTTCAAGTGCGCAATTCAGGCATATTTTACGCTGCAAAAACATTCTGAAGGCTTAAACAGAATTTATTTTAATAAGATTTTCCGTGCATTCATCGTGTTTCATACAGAAATATGATGTGTAAACATTTTTAAAGGAATAACTACTTGAAAAGCCTATCTAAACATTTTCTATAGCAGTTATAATAGTACTACGTAAAATTGGGCATGTTATTGTCTTAAAAATCAATCATACAATGATCCAGGTTGGGTAGAAGCTAATCAGTGCTTTTTCTCCTCAACAGTCATCTGTTCATTTCTGTTTACTACGATGAATGTATCTAAAGTATGCTAAGCCAGCAGCTAGAAATGCCAGGCCCACTGGTACCATCTTTACCCAAGAGAGCTGTGAGGATGAATGACTGTCCTCATTAGGAATTCGAGTCCGCAGAGGCTTGAGAATCCGCTCTCTCTGGGTCAGGATAGCTCTCCGGGCCCCATCCCATTTCCCTGGCCCCTGAAGGCGGTACTGGTAGGGGGTACAGGGACCAAAGAAGACCTCTATGGCCAGCTTTGGATCTGAAAGAAAGAGGAACAGCAAGTTGGGCTTCACCCCTGCGAGGGTGGCGATCTCATCCATGTACTCAATGTGATCCACTTGGATTGTGTGGCGGGGTGTCTTCACATATCTGAAACAAAAGGGAAGAGTGTGGAGGACTCACAGCCTCCAGCAATGGGAGGAGGACAGATTTATATCATCCAGAACATACAAGAAGTTTAAACAAATTGAATTCTAGACTTCTACTTACTTTAGAGGTGAAGAAATGAAGAACCAGAAAGCTGAACTGACAATCTGACAGCACTCAGGTATTGAAGGACAAAGCAGACACAAAATCCAAATTTCCATGCACACTGTCCCTTAGTTTTTGATTGTTAACAGGATGACTGAATTAGGGATTGATGTTTACAGTGATCCTTATGCTGTAAGATGGTCATTTTATAAATGAAGGATTGTGATCCAGTTAAATACTTCCGTGTGTATTTTGCAGGTAGGCCGAAAACTTAACTTCCAACCCACCTATGTGTTAGCAGTCAACCAGGAGACAGATAATCAGACAATTATGGATAACCTGACCCTGGGAGTTTGGTGGCTGTCATGAGGTAAGGCTTTAGGAGTGTAACATCCTTTGCAAAGGAAGGTGACTCTGCAGCAACACTGGGAATGACAGCTGCCTGGGAAGTTCTCCCTTGATCCAGATGCCTCAACTCTGAGTGTGCATTGCGTGATGCACTTCCACGGACTTCAGAACCATAGAGGCCTCATTCACTTTGCAGGTATTGTGGATTTAATATTTGTTATGGTAATTTTACTTCCAGCATTTGGAAGTAAAGTGTCTTTTCCAATTTGCACAAACATATTTTAAAGGACAGTAGTAGCCCTTTGCACACCTGCTGTGCAACATGGATCAGTGGTCACATATGTTTCTGATGTGAGAATGCAAGAAGTGTTATCTTGGAGATGTGAAGAGCTGGGACTTGTGCTGCATGAACTGAACACTTTTTCCATGTTGCAAGACCTTTCCCCAAATGGAGTTTATAGAGTACTCACAAGTACTCACATCTGAGTACTTGTTTCAGGCACTGTTACGCAGGATGTAAGAAGAAAAACAGTGATGCCATTTTATATTGCTCTCCATTTGCCTTGTGCATAATCCTATTGGAAATGCTTAGCAATATGCCTGCCATGGCAGGCACAAAGTAAATTTTTAATCAATTTACTCTTTCTTCTAAATATTGATGAGAATGGCACCTGAATGGTTTTTCAACTAAGGGTATTCTCTGTTACAAAGTTTGTACCACTGTCAAGTGTGTATGTGTGGGGAAAAGTTAATGGGGGGGGGGACTTTCATGTTTTTATATGGACACATACACATAAAGTCCTTAGAATTCTGAGGTAATGTAGCAAGGTTACTTATTAAGATATTAATTTGTATATTTTCTGTCTATATTCCATTCTTCCACTGTCTGCAAAAGTGGCCAAGCCTTTTGTGTTCCCTTGTCTTAGAGACATTTTTTGTTACCTGACCAAAGAAGTATCTTAATGGCAACACATCTCCCCTCCCAGCTTTGTTTCCTTAATTCTGGGCTCATGGAAAAGAATAACATAAATACTGTTGGGAGTTAACAAGAGAGAAGAGAAAGATTTTATACAGTATTTGAAATAGAAATCTGGTTTAAAAGAGTCTAGGAACCTAAGGAAGATGTCAGAGGGAATAGTTGTGTTGGGCTCCTGGGGAGACTGGACCCTGAACCCATCTCAGATGAAGCCTCCATCCTCAGCAGAGTCCTCTACACTTCTCATAATAAGGAAGCCAAAAGCTTCCAGGCTTTATCGGTGTACATTAGATTATGATGTCAGTAAGGAATGTGATGTGAAAATCAGAGACTGCTCCTACATTTTGGAGGATCATATAGGCTTCCTGGATTCTGGTGAGATACTGGGAGAAAAACCTGTAATGACTGAAGTCGAGGTTGATGTAGAATGATTTAAAGAGAATAAACTCAGGGCTGTTTGTTGCATAACTGAGCTACTTGCTTGTTTAGGAGTTGTATAAAAAGATAGTATAGGAAATGGAGAAAAAGTGAGATTAAGCATGGGTATAGAATCTCAGATTAAGAATTCTGTGATCTGCCGGGTACAGTAGCTCATGTCTATGATCCCAGAACTCTGGGAGGCTCAGATGGGTAGATTGCTTGAGCTCAGGAGTTCAAGACTAGCCTGAGCAAGAGTGAGACCCCTGTCTCTACTAAAAATAGAAAAACTAGCTAGGCATTGTGGCAGGTGCCTATAGTCCCGGCTACTCAGGAGGCTGAGGCAGAGGATCACGTGAAGACAAGAGTTTGAGGTTGCTGTGAGCTGTGATGCCTAGCACTCTACCCAGGGCAATTGAGTGATATTTCATCTCAAGAAAAAAAACAAAACCAACCCCCCCCCCAAAGACCTGTATATCCACATCCAAATAAAGAAAAAGAAAAGAAAAGAAAAATCTACCTAGGTTGATTGGGTGAGACTCTATCTCCAGGAAACAAACAAACAAACAAACAAAAACTCCTGGATATCCACATTGAAAAAAGAAAAAAGAAAAAAGAATTCCCATTTTGTGACCCCTGTGAAGGTCTCTGACTAGGTGTTCCTAATTATTTACCGTTTTTCTGTGGTCCTTTTCCTCTTGGCAATATCTGCCATCATGTTGCTCATTGAGGGTAATTTGCTCAGCCCTAGAAGAGAAATTTCAGAGTCTGTCAGGATTCCTAGGAATAAGAGGGGAACACTTTGTTGAAAGGAGAGAACGAGTGTCAAAAAGAAACTGAAGATTAACTTTAGGTGAAATACTAGGCCTCTCTCCAATATTGATTGATGTACCTTTGAACACTCGTGTAGCCCAGCGAGACTGAAGCTCTGCAATAGGTAGGACGATGCCCAGGGGCTGGATAAGACCGATGACAGCCAACGTTGGCTTCTCCAGAT